CCTTTACTACTTAGACTTGAAAGAACACTTATTAGATCTGAGTTTAAAAGAGAAAAGAAATGCTTCTGTAGTGCTGTTCGAGAAATACACATGTGGATGTAGATGAATAAATAAACATATTCAGCAATCCTTCTTTACATTTTAAAATCAGATAACAGAGCCGTCCCTCAGAGCAAAGCCAGTTCGCCAGGTCCTCTCAGGCGACAGTGGGAGAAAAATGCATCTACTACAGCTCTTGCTGCTCTGGGAAATGCACCCGTGCTCACCTCCAGTTTAACAGCAGAGGACAGTGGAGGTTAGTAGTCAGGTTGAATACTATTATTTTATTATAGAACATTCGCTAATAGTTTTTAATGAGAGTTTCTTTTTTTTCTAATGTCACTCTGTGAAGGATGTTTGGTGTCCCACGTCAGAGCACTGCTCATGCAGGCGAGGGAAACAGATTTGGGCAGAGAGTAAAATACAATTAGTTTTGCATGAAATATGATCTGGAAGATATATGCTGAAAATCTTTTCTCTTTGGCACTGATTTTTTATCTTTTCCCATCCAGGTGGCTGTGTAATAAAGTACAGTGAAAATAACACCCGGAAGCAGTGGCTCAGAGAGGCTCCCGAAACCTTGTTGAGCATCCTTAGGAATGCTGATCTCAGCTTGGCTTTTCAAACATACACCATCTATAGACCAGGTGATGCATGTCTGTTCCATAACTGTGGGAACCCTTTGATTTTTTTTTAATTGTGTAAAATATACATAACATAAAATTTTCAATGTTAACCGTTTGTAAGTGTACAGTTCAGGGGCGTTAAGTACATTCACATTATGTAGCCATCACCACCATTCATCTCTCGAACTTTTCCCGTCTTCCAAAATGTAAACTCTGTATCCATTAGATAGTAATTCCCTGTCCCTGCCTCCCAGAAACCCTTTGATTTTAAAGTTAGAAAATAATTCATAGCATTGTCTTTTTAGGTTTTCTTGAATCTTTTCTAGCTTTCAGTCTGAAGCCATGGTTAATTTTCTATAGAGCTTCATTCCTTCTGTTTGTTCATTATTTTAATGATGATAAACAGTGATTATTGTTCACTTATTTTAATAATCATGCGACCACTTTGACGAGTGGCCCATTCTTTGCCACACAAATATACCCCTGCTGTAGTGACTCTGTAGCTCAGACTTCATCCTAGTAAACTTTGAGGAACTTCAAGATTTCTTTGTCTCCGTACTTGAATTCTGTTGTATTGACTAGAGCTCAAAAAAGATGTAACAATTACGATTTGATTATTTTTATTGTTTCTACAGACATTTTCATTACAATTACACAGCATAACTTTTTTTTTTAAGTGTAGTTGATTTACAGTGTTAGTCTTAGGTGTACACCAAAGCAATTCAGTTATACATACATACATATTTTTTTCAGATTCTTTTCCATTATAGCTTATTACAAGAAGTTGAATATAGTTCCCTGTTCTATACAGTAGATCCTTGTTGTTTATCTATTTTATGTAGAGTAGTGTGTGTCTGTTAATCCCAAACTCCTCATCAGCATAACCTATCCTTAGGAACCTAGACCAAAGGACTACAGTGAGGATGTGTACGCATATGTGCATGTGTGTATAATTTTGATAATTCAGTTACTAAAGCCGTCTTGCTTGGTTTAAGATCTAAGATCAGTTATGCCAAGTAGAACATATAATGGTGTGGCAAGTCTCAGCTGTATTTATTGTAACAGATTTAGCTGTATTTGTTAATTTGGTCAGTATTTGGTGAGTGACCTAACATATGCTAGGTTAAGATTTAAAAAAAAAGAATAAAAAAAGTAATTATTTCCCTGAAAGAGTTTATCATCTGGGAGACCAGCACACAAGCAAAGACTTTAGAGCTGTGTTTCTTGTGTTCTGATAGAGCCGTGTGCAGACTGTTACAAGTCCCGAGGAAAGGGAGGTGCATGAGTGGACAGTGTTAAGGAAGATTAATGACTGTGGATTTTGTTTTAGCAATTATAGGTCCTGGATTATAGGTTTCTGGTTCATTGATGAAATTTTGGTCATTTTAGCAAAGTCACTATTTAAAAAATAGATCATAGCTCTATTGTAAAAGAATTTTTGTAAAGATTTAGCCTACATATTTTATATTAGGTTATTGCTTTGTAAGCAAAAATCTGAAAGTAATTACCATCTGGAAAAAATTTTAAAAGCATGCATGTGGTCTTAATTCCCTAATTTTATTCCGCTACATTGGGAAAACTTGGGGGGATGGGAAAGGTTAAAGGAAAAGCAATTAACTGTAATCTGACTGTCCAAAGACAACTTTTAATGCTTTAAAATAAGTTCTTATATTTGAGGGTTTCAGTTGTAACTTTCTGAATATTTCCTTTTGCATAAAGAACTGTTTAAAAATGTAATACACATGTTGATGCTTACGAGGCTTGGTTTACGCCAGAATTCATGCTGGGTAATGCGGGGAGGGGGCACAACAAAAAATACAGAGCATGGCGTTGCCTTCAATGAGCCAAAAAACCTTTGGAAGAATTTAGTCCAATGTGCATGAAATAAGCAAATACTGCTTAACTTAGCATAATTTCTATTACTGTTCCTCTGAAGGTGCAGAAGGGTTCTTGAAAGGCCCCCTGTCTGAGGAAACAGAGGCATCGGATGATGTCGATGGAGATCACGATTCTGTCATTTTGGATCTAGAGAGACTTGAACCTGGACTGGATGAGGAGGACACGTATGTGCAATGTACCAAGATAGTCGACACGATGCGCATGTCGTTTAAATTGTACTTTAATACGTTCTGGTTGAGTGGGAGCTGGTTATATTACTTTGCATCACAAATGAATATTTGTATCTTGATCTTTTGTCTGGCATGGGTAATGTGTTATGGTATTATCACAGAATTCCTGACTGAGCTGTATGTTTATAATTGTTCTGCTTGGACTTGCTATTTTTTAATATACTAGGTCTTATATTGGAAAAGTTATAGAAATAGTGAAAGAAGTGATCTTTTGAAAGGCTAAGTTTTTTCTCTGTTCAGTTGCTTTATGGAGCTCATTTTTCAAAAATGTAAATATTGTTATGGTCATGTTCTACTCTGCACCCATCAGCAAATAATTACTGTATCCCTATTATGGAGACTTAATACTCAAATTGTTTTTTTCCCCCACAGGGACTTTGAGGAAGACGACAGCCCTGACTGGGTATCAGAACTGAAGCAGCGAGCTGGCTGGCAAGAAGTGTGCAGTGGATAATGCACTGGAAATGTCCCTTAGTCACATTGAGGGGATGTTAACCATGAGGAACTGACATTCAGATAATAATTAGCTCACGGGATTATATTTTCCTTTGGAAACACAATGAAGAGGGAGAAACTGTGGATATTTTAAATTGTTCCTGGTTAGTATCATAAGCTATAAAAAAATCTAGAACTTCTCTGAGTTTGAAAACTGGGTATGAGGTTCGGGCTTTGTGGTCAGGTGGAACAGAAATTGAATGCTACCACTTATTGCTTGTCTGATTGTGAGAAATTACTTAACCTCTTTTAGCCTGAATTTCCTCAACTGTAAAATGAGAATAATAGTGCCTACCTCCCGGGGATGCTGACCACAGACCATTACAGCAGCCCATAATGTTATTTGCATTGTTGTGATTTGTGCGTATTACTTTGTAGCTCTTTTTATATTTCCTAAAGGTTTGAAGATCTAAATGTATTTAATTATAACTTAATGATGTGTGCAGTGTTTCATTAAGACATCAATGATCTTCAGTGATCTTCACCAGCTACCAGCTGTCCTTACATGGATGCACAATAGGATGTCCTCACAGGAGGCACAGAAGAACCCGGGTCTGAGGTTCAGCCATGGGACGAGTCGGGGTAACTTCAGATCTCATGAGAAGTTGACAGTCCTGTATATGAGAAAGGAATGGGAGTCCACACAGGAAGTAGCGGAAACTATAGAGTGTTGTGGAACTAGTCGGGGTCGGAGGGGACAGGATCCCAGCATGGGTGTGTCATGGTGTGTCAGCGTGCTGGGTCTTGTCATTTAATGCTGTGATGCGTTAGTGAGAGGAGAATGTTATCATAAAGAAACAGGCTCTTCCCGGGGGATCCCACAGGGGCAAGTGTGGGAACAGCATAAGCCTGGCCTGGGATAGGGAACAATGCTCAAGTAAACAGTAGGGGAAATAGTTATGATACCACAGTAGGATCATTAATAAAGATCTGCTGAAATATCAAATACATAAAGAGTTAGGCATTTTAAAAATCTTAACATAGAACTGTGGTATAGACCTCACCCCTCACTTGTTATTTATACTCAGACATTTAGTCATCCTTGGTCTCCTCTGGTCTCTGATAGCCTCTCCATCTTCCCTTATTTTTCAGGACCTTGACATTTTTGAGGAGTACTGGTTAGGTGTTTTGTAGAGTGGCCCTCGATTTGGGTTTGTCTGATGTTTGTCTCCTGAGGGGCCTGAGCTTGAGGGCTTGGGAGGAAGAACACCCAGAGGTGACGTGCCCTCCCGTCACGTATCGGGGGTCAGCCATCTCCACACGCCATGACTGGTGGTGTTAATCTTGATCACATGGTTAAGGTGGTGTCTGCCAAGGTTTCCACTGTAAGTTGCTGATTTTCCATTTCCAAGTTCTGTTCACTCCATGTGAGTCACTAAATCCAGCCCACACTCAAGTGGAGAGGAATTAAGCTCCAGCTCTTGAAGCGGGGAATAATCCACTACTAAGTCATTTGTTTTGTTGCTTAAATTGTCCTAGCTTTGGCCACTGGGTATGGTTTCAAGTTGGCACCTGTGTCCCTTTGACACGCCCTCCTCCTTTTGTGTTTCAAGTACATCCTTGCTTTCCGGCATTCCAGGAAGATGGTACAGGCTCATCTTGTGCCTTCTCTGCCCCAGACCCGGAACTAGCCATTTCTCCCAGGACCCCTGGTTCCTTTCACTGGTTCAGAGACCAGGATCTGGGTACCGGGTGTGACTGTGGCTACTGAGATGTCACAACTTCTTGGCCCTCCCAGCAGACAGTTAGGAAGTACATGTATGCCTACTATCCGGTGTGCACACGCATCTATAGTCAACTTCTGTATCTCCCCGTCTGTATGTATATTAAGCTAAGAATAGGTTGGTTTATACTGATGTCTTGGACTCTGATCCAGTACCACAGGGTTCATTCTAGCTTCTTCCCCTTACTTTTCTGAGGCTTCTATCTTTGACAGTGAGAAACTTGACTTCACCATCCACTTACTTAGTTCAGTTCCAGTATACATGTAAAGCAGTTTCCAAATTACTAACCCATACCCCTGTGAGGAACAAATTTACCAACTAAAGTACAGAGTTTATGTATTGTTCCTATTGTCTTTAGCCTTACAATTTCTAGTCAAAACCACATTTCCCAGAATTACTTATGTTAGCTTCCTTTTTTTTTTTTAACCATTGTCTTGAAGTTAAGGTAGGCAGGGGTAGTTTTAAGGATATTTCTCGGTAGTTAGCGTCCATAAATACTGTATCAAATAGATACATCTTAGTCATCTTAGCGTTGCCCCAGAGTGTAAACATGTCCAAACTAACAAAGGGAACTTGAAAATACGTATAGCTAGTTATTGAGCGACTGAATGACTCTTGATTGGATGACAAATCTTTTCAGAAGTCAGGTGGTTTGCAGGGTTTTGCTTTTAATAAAATTTCAAGAGACTCTAATGGATGATTAGAAATCATTTTTAGTACTAGATTACTATATGAGTCTTGACATACAACGAGGCAAGAATTAAGGGTCACTTTTAACAAAACTTCCAGTTCCTATTTATTTACTTACATGAATGGGGTTTTTCAGCACTTACAGCTTTAAAACAAGAGATTCAAAAAGAAAATACAAGAAAATTGATGAAATAAAATTATTTTTAAGGCAAGACAAGGAAAATTTTAAACACAAAATTCTCTCCAGCAGTTTGGACCACCACCCCTTTTTGGTGTGCATTGTGCACCTGCATTATGCATTAGCTAACTCCTTAGGCTAGAACATTCCTTTCTTAATCCTATAAGGGGTCACGATGACCCTCTGCTCACCTTGTTGGACTATGTAAACTGTTAGTGTTACTTTGTTGTATAACCCTTTGTCTTGAAAACTTAGGTAACTGTGCTTTGACCTCTAAGCCAGGAAACAGTCCTCAGAGCTTTCTGAAAGACTGTCTCCGGCATTATAATCCTTAGGTTAGTGTGAATAAAATTTTCATTTGTTCCTTGGATTGAATATTGATTAATTTTTCATTGACAGAATCAGTGTTGAATTTGGTTTATTCTAGCAAAAAGTTAGCATTCATTGATGGATACTAATTGAGCCAACTAGGGGGAAAGAGGAAAGCCCATTCAGGTCTTTAAGAGTTGAATTTCCAATACAATTTTATTTTTGATAGTTAATAAATATCAATTCATGATTTTTTTTAGCTTTTATCAATTGTGTACCTGGCACCTAAGGACTGATCACCAACAACCAATCAGAATTATGCGTGAGCCCACAGGCCCTGGGATGCCCCTCCCTCACCTGGCCTTTAAAAATGCTTTGCTGAAACCCTTCTGAGAGTTAAGGGTTTTTTGGTTACCAACTGGTGGTTCTCTTTGCTCTGCCCTGCAATAAACCTTTGTTTGCTCCAAACTCTAAAGTTTCAGTTTGTTTGGCCTCACTGTGCACCTGACACACAAGCTTGTGTTAGGTAACATATGAAGATATGAGTTCAAGGAGAGAAAAGAATGATGTAAATTTTCTGATTCTTAAAGAAGGGCTTTTTTTTTTTTCCAAATAGATGATGGTGGGTTTCAAATTGCCATGGTATTTAGATTCAATTGGGTATGTTTTACCTGTGTCAGTATTTATAATTGCTGGAAATTACATCCTTTCAACAACTAAAACATGTAATGGAACATTTCAGACAGCAGCTTGGTGTGCAGTGGGAATGAGGAATGGGTGGGGAGCGATGGCGAGAAGGTGAGATGTGTTTGCAGGCCACTGGGCAGCAGCCAGTTTTGTAAGAAGACCCCAAGGGAGACCGCCAGCTGTGGCCAAAAGAGGAGGATTCCGTCTCAGTCTCCATAGCTTGACAGTATTTGAGACCTTGCACAAGAAACTCTTCCTTTCTCGTCTAGCTTATTTGTAAAACTTGGAGAGGACTACCTTGCTAGGTTGTTGCAAGGATAGAGATAATGTACGCAAAGCATCTGGTACACGGTGAACAAGAACGGTGCTTGTTCAGTGTCAGTAGAGGAGTCCCGGCCTAAGGCAACGGAGGTGACACGGCCAGGTCTCCAGACTTCCCGGTCCCCGACCCCTCTTCAGGGTGGACTGTGTGGACGGGACCTCTCGCCGCTCATCCAGGCGCCCCGCCCCGCGTTCCCTCGCTCGGCTCCGCCCCTCCCGCCCAGAGGCGCGGCGGCCCGGGAACCCGGATCCACTACTCTCGCCCCGCGGAGCCCGCGGAGCAGGTATGCTGCTGGCGGCGCCCTTAGTCTGTACCCCGAGCTGCCCCCAGGGCTCTGGGGGTCGGGGTGGGGGTGACGGGTGGAGCCCCCAGTTCCCCGCCGGGGAAAACGCGGGGGCCAGAGGCGCGGTCTGGGTCCCGGGCTGCGTCGGTGTCCATGGCAACGCGCAGCGCGCCCAGCTCCCTGCCCCGCGCGAGCTTGGCTGCGCACTCGCCGGCGGCCTCACGGAGTGTTCCTAAGGGAGAAGGACTTTTCCCGAAAGCTGGGGACTTCCACCCTGTGGTACCACCTGGGCGGGAGCGTCGCGGCCCCTCAGCTCCCGCGCTGGTGCCTTTGAGTTCGGATTCCGCATCCGCCCGCCTCAAAACCGGGTCCTCCTGTGTCCCCAGCTTTCTCTGGCTGCGGCCCTGGTTCCCAGTTCCATCCTACCTAATCGTCCCCACTTCCTGCACTGACACAAATCACTCAAAAACATAACCTGCCTGCTCAATTTTTAAAAATCAGTTTGTAACTGTTTACGCAAAGACCAGGTGGCTGGCGGCTGGCCAAGGGTCTCCTGGCCCAGTGGCTTTCAGAGGGGTAGGAGGTGGTCGGAGGAGGTTGCTGGGCCGCCGGGACCTGCAGAAGACAAATCAGAAACAACCCCACTGGAAATTACTGGCCCGTTTGTTGTTTTTGTTTTTGTTTTGCCGACGGGCTATTGAGGGTGTACCCTCGTTACAAAGCAATAGTAAAGGGAAAGGGACCACACCATTGACTACCCTCAAGGAATGCACCTTGAGAAGCCAGGACTCCGGGCTGAGGGTGACAAACCCAAATCAAAGGAGATTAAGCCTCAAAGGGAATTTTAGGCCTTTTAATTGGAGATTCTGACTGGGTAGGTCTTGGGTGGGGCCCTTGTACCCCCTGGCCCACACGCCATCCTGCCATTACGAATCTTAACAGACAAATCGAAACGCCATAGTGCCTGTTTACTATAATTTAAATCTGAAAAAGAACTACTTTCAAATTAGTGAAGTAGCAGGGAGTCACCTGATCGTGACGGCCGCCAACTGATAGGTGGCGGCGTGGCCAGTGGGGGAGTGATTTTCCAAAACAACGAACAGTTCCGAGCAAAGTTCTGACCAAAACAAAGTGCAGTCAAATCTTGATTTACATAGTTGCATTCCTCGAAAACTCAGTGTTAATTAAAACTATGCAAATATACGTTGTATTGAGATGTAAAATAGTTTGGTTGTAGTCACAGATAATTAGGAACGGATTTTTTCTGCACAGGAATGTGTGCGGAGGCTCTCTCAGGCTGTAGGGCCGCGGGATAGTCCTTTATTATGCGGGACCGTCCCTTCCTTCGCAGAATCTTAGTATCCCAGACCCCAACCGCTTCTAATTGCGGTAGTGCCTGCCTCTCCATTTCTGCGGAGAACAGGAAAAAAAAAAACAAAAAAAACTCCGTAAGTTTCCAAAATGTCCGGTAGGGGGCAGTACCTCCCCACTGAGAAAGGCTCGACTGTAAAAAACACATGAGCAAAAAGACGTTCCTGCTTCCTAGAGGTGCCAAGACGAGGGTATTATATTTTTTCATTCTCAGAACAAACTTGCAAAAACAGGTACTGTTATTTCTATTTTAGAAATTAGGAAAGTGAGGTTTTGCGAAGCTAAGTGACTTGCCCAAGATCGCAACTCCATGGTATATCAAAGCTGAGCTGCAGCCCAAGTCTGACCTCTGATCCCGCTGAGCTCTTGTCTCACTTTTGTTGTTACCTGTGGCCACAAGGAAAGTTATTTGACTCAATATTGGCAGGATTCGAAGGCAAGTTTTTGGAAAATGAGTTCTCTTACAATTTGGTGGTCAGTTTTCTGACCTTGTTCATGTTTATGAAAAGTGTGCAATAAAATTTCACTGCTGTCATTTCAGAAACCTCCGTGCATTGGAGACCATGGATAAATATGACATGATTAAGGCTATCGGGGAAGGTGCCTTTGGGAAAGCATACTTAGCCAAAGGAAAATCAGATAGCAAACTCTGTGTTATCAAAGAGATCAATTTTGCAAAGGTAAAGTTAAGAACTTCAAATTCCTGTTCCTTTACAGCAATATAATTAAGTATGTTAAGATGGCTTTTAAGAATTTAAGTTAAGGAAATACATTTCTTTTTTTCTTTTACAAACATGAACGAGTTGACTTTTGTTTGTTCAGTCTCCTAAGTCCATTGTCCAAATAGCAACCAATGGTCTTATTTTTTAAAAAGAAAAGAAAGAAAGACGGCATCACCTTGGCTCCAATGGCTCTGACTCCTGTTTTGCCTAGGGGCGGTGCACTTCCTCTGGCCAGCTCTCTCCTTATTCAGGTCACCTCCACAGGAGGCCTTCCCCAAACATCCTAGCTAAGATAGCTCCCCAGTGTGAGTCGCTGCTTATCACACCCCCGGGTTTATTTTCTTACTAGCGCTGATAATGATCTGGAATTACTCTGTTCACTTATTTCTTCCCTTGTTTATTGTCTGTCTCCTCCAACATGCAGAACAGTGCCTGACCCATAATAGGTGCTCAAAAATATTTATGGAATGCACCGAATGAATGGAGAAAAACTGTGTTATTGTTAGTCTAATGGTTTTGGAGAATAACTAAATATGTTTAATTTAAAAGGAACCATTTTTGTTCAGCTCCTTTTGGTCAGTGTTTATGTCACCCCCTGTAGTGGCTTCGTGTTCATTTTAAATATATTGGGACAACAGTGTCCATGATAGGCTAGAATTAACTTTAAGGCAGTTTTCAGGTTGAGTGCCTTCTAGAGGATTTATAAATGAGAGCAGAAAAACTTCCATGCAAAACAGGTGCAAAGTGGATGACTCGAGTTGCACAATGTGAATGTACTTATGCCACTGAGTTGTGCACTTAAAAATGGTTAAAATGGTATAAATTTTGTTATATATATTTTACCATAACTTTTTTAAATTGGAAAAAAAATAAGAGGACTTCCCAAACCTACATTAAAATTCAGGTGTAGATGATTAGCTTCAGGGCGCATGCTTTGTTACCAATATAGGATCCTTTTCACAGGCGCACGGCAGACTTCTGCTGATGTCCTCTTATTCTGGTGGCCTGACAGAACCTCTTTCTGTGACATTATTCTGCTCACCCTCTTTTGTTTATCTGACTGCTCTTTCCCTGGCCTCTCTGTCTCCTCTCCTCTCCCTCCAGATATGTCCCCACCCATCTGTCCTTTGCTGACTCTCTTTATAGTGCCACCTGGAAGTTACCTCATTTCAGTCTTTACCACTAAGCGGATCACTCTTAAAATGCTCTCCAGCCCTGCTATCTTCCAGAGCCCTGGTCCCACGTTTCACCTGCCAGCTAGACAGCTTCAAGCACTATCTGTGTGGGTAATCTGTTGCTGTGTAACATATTACCCTGAACGTAGTGGTGTTTATACAATAAACATTTGTGTTCTCACAGTTTCTGTGCACTAAGAATTCAGAGCGAGGATCACTGAGGACCATCTTGGAAGCTAGCTACCACAATTGTACCCCAAACAAAGTAGAAATTTCTCATTTTTCTGGGCAGACCCATGTCACCTGCTGTGTGCTGCTCTGTGTTAATGACATCAGTATTCTTATGCTATCCAGGCTGAAAACCTTGGGGTCATCTGTGAATTCTTTTCTCTCTGCATATCCAACTAATTTGCTAAATACTGTTGACTCTTTTCTCTCCCTTGAATTCATTTCATTCTTTATGCCCCCAACCTTCTCTGGGACACAAGTCATAAGGGAAAAGATGATTGGATGCATTGTCATCTTTGACTACATAAAAATATAAAACTTCTGTATGACAAAGAAACCATCATAAGTAAATGGCAAGAAAACCGACAGAATGGCAAAAATATTTGCAAGTGTTGACTAAAAGCTGCTGGCCTGTTTTAAATCTATAAAAAGGAAGCAAAGCATAACTGAAGAAGTCATCATACAAAAATTCCAAACTCATTAGTAAACTAAGAAAAGTAAAATAAATCTGTTGATTGATATCACTTTTTGCTTAGACAACTGGAAAGGATAAAAAAGAATATAGAAGTGGGGGAGGCGGGCAGCCTCTTATTCTGCTGATAAGAAGGTAAATTGGTATCATCCTGAGGGGAATTTATCAAAATGTATCAAAGCCTTAGAAGGATCCATGCCCTGTTTGTATTATTGACAAGGAATAAGGTCCACAGTATGTTGCAAAGATAAAAAAAAAAAACAACCAGGCCACAAAAAGTTGTGTGTGTGTACATACATGTGTACTGTTACACACCCAACATTAACAGTGGTTGTTGCTGTTGGTGGGATTTTATCATTTCTTTCTGCACTGCCAGAATTCTTAATAGGCAGCACATACTATGTTCTTTAAAATTATGAATTGTATTATTTATATAAGAAGAGAAAGCTATCTTCAATCTTCATCTTGAAAAAGAAAAGGAAAAAAGTACACATCCTAGGACCCAGTAGTTCTACTTTGGGGATTTTATTTCAAGGAAATACCCAGAAATGTACAGACAGAAAACAACTTATGTCCAAGAGTAGGGGATTTGTTGAGAGATTTTGGAAAAACTAAGCAGCGTTTCGAAATCATGTTGTAGTTGCAGTGTTGACATGGGAACGACTTTTGCTGACTAAGGAGACAGTATTTGTAGAATGATGCAATCTTTGTAAAAGTATATGCACTGTCTCTGTATATAGGTCTGTATGTTCTCACACATATATTCACATGCATGTAAGAAAGACATGCTAGATTGTTATTATCCAGGTGAAGTGTGGGATTATGAGTAATTGTTACCTTGTACTTTTATATCATTTCACTCTTCAAATTAGTTTTGACACCCTTTCTGATTTGTTCCCAAATTCCATTTTCAACCTCCCCTTCACATACTCTTTTTTTTTTCCTCCAAGTACAAATCCTTCACACACCAGCCTCTGTGCTCGCCCAAGATCTTTCTTCCAAGCACCAAGATCCCACTTGCTAAGCCCCAGGATAACTTCCAGAACTTTCCCACTCTAAGTAGTCTCTCTTTCTCTGTAAACTCCATAGCTTTTCGTCCGTACTGCTGTTATGGTACCAATTGCTTTCTACCTTGATGTGCTTTAGCTGTGTATTTTGTGCCTTCTCCTCCTTATTAAATGGTATGTTCTGTGCATGCAGAATCCATGTCTTATTCGTCTTGCTATTCCATACAGCACCTAATAATGCTTTGTACCGGTAGCCGTTCAATAAATCCTTATTGGGTAAATAATTCAATGGATACATACTTTCAGGCCTTCTGGCTCTCTTGTTAAGCTGGTACATACTTAGGAATTGTAAAACCATTTAAATTCTAAGTAAAGGAAAAAACTATTTGGGAGGTGAATCCTCTGTAAAAATATATATTAATGCATTTTATAGCATCTCTCCCATTCTTTAGTATAGATTGCAAAAACTTGACTATATATTTCTAATACAGCACTGATTTTTTTTTTGTCCTTTTACTCATGAAACACTCTTGTCTTCATGCCATAAATAAGTAGAATGTTATATTAGGCCTTGTTATTGTCACTTTCTTGTATCTCTTTGTGTTATCAAATTTGCCTAGCAACATCTATGTCACAGTATTAACATTTATTGCTTCTTTCTTCCTTTCTACTCTAATGTAGCTTTTCATTACTTCTTATCTAGAGAAATTTACATTTCTTTTCAACTCCAGCATCTCTCCATGAAACAAACTCTAGACCCCAGAACTTAAATTGCTTATTTTCTCACAGGTGTCCAAAAACTATGTATTTTCTCTTATTATCCTACCATTATCAAGCATATTCTTTTCTTTCTTGCCTTCAAAATTGTGTTGTCTCTTTTCTTGATTATAAACATTAAAATATTCATTGTAGAAATTTTGGAAAAAAACTGTAGGGAAAAATAAGACTATTTAGAGGAAAATAAAAATTACTTATAACTTCTCTCTTCATCATTATTAACCTTATGGTGAATTTCTCTCCTGGCCATTTTTCTTGCATAAATGTACTTTATAAGCTCTTAAGATATATTAGAAGATATTAAATATAAAAGTGTAGCAATCTTAACACAGAACTTCACTGGTCTGATTCATGTGATAAATGACTTTTTTTTTTTTAGATTTCATTTGTTTCCTCTTAGCAGTGATTGGTACTGGAAGATTGCGTTTTTTGTAAATTTCTTTGCTGCTGAAAAATAAATATTAAAATAACTTTCCTCCAAATGACTAAATAATTGACACAGTACCACCTATCTAGCTGAAATTGTAATACAGCAAAACTTCACCAGAAACACTTGTTTTTCTTGTTTATGATTGTCACTGACAACCGTTGACCAGGTATGACACTGTGCTAATTCTAGAAATATCATTTCCTGCTGTTGAATGATCAATTTCGGAAGTACATTAAAAGCTAGTGAAATCCTGGAGAATTTTAGATGACAATGAGCAGAAACCACATTCTTGAAAGCAACTCATCTGTACAGACTACTCTGTCTCTTTCTATATTTTAGATGCCCATCCAAGAAAAAGAAGCTTCCAAGAAAGAAGTCATTCTTCTGGCAAAGATGAAACATCCCAACATTGTAACCTTCTTCAGTTCCTTTCAAGGTGTGACTTTCTAATATTCTTGAAGTATTTTAATAAAATGTAGGCATGTAGACTTCTATAAAAGATGTGTTCCTGAGAACTGCATCTAAATTAATTTTTGTAAATGGACTCATTTTCCTGTTTACTTAAGTTGTAATTTGAGACATCATCTTTATTTCTTCTCCAGTGAATTTTTGTAGATAGCTTTCCAAAATTTTCTTAAGTTTTCCCTTCTCACTTTAATTCTCACTCCCTCAAATAGTTAATGATGGGTGGATTACAGCCCCTACATTTCAGTGGCCTGCAACAATACCATCTATTTCTCACTCATATTACGTTGGCTGTGGGTGGGCAGGGTCTTTAAGTCTAGCGTCCAGGCTGAAGGAGCAGCTCAGATACGGAACATGCTGTTCTCCTGAGCGAGAGAAAAGAGCAGGACACAGAGCCCATCACACCCCCACTCTCAGGGCCCGGCTAGGATGGGGCATGTTTCTTATGTGCTCACATTGCTGGTGCAAAGCAGCCAGGCAGTCAGCCCTGAGAATGAGGTGATGGTGGGGGAGGGTATGCTCTGCCTCTGGGTGTCCTTGCAAGTCCCAGGGCAGTGGGTGGGGCTGCACAGTTCTCTTACAGAGACGCTGCAGATGGCCAGCAAACGGCCAGGAAAGAGGGGAAGATATTTAAAAAAAAAAAAAAAGAGGGGAAGAACTTAAAGGAAGCTGTTCCCTTCCTCTATACATCTCTTCTGCCTCCACTCATCACTCAACTCCAAAGATAAGGAAAAAAAACCATGAAAGGAGCAGTGGTCAGAGACCATCCACTCACTTAACAAATATCTATATCGAGTGCTTACTATATGCATCGTTCTAGGTACCAGGAATAGAGCAGGGGACAAATCAGGCAGAAGCTCCTGTCCTTGTGGTGCTTACCTTGTAGTGGGAAGGGACAGACAGTGACACGTAAGCACATCAGGTGTTGATCAGGCTGAGTCAGGGCTGCAGATGCCCTCCCTTCTCCGCGGAGCAGCCCCACCCCAGCACCCAGCACCCAGCGCGCTTGAATTCACAGGTCGAAAGTAGTTAATGGAGCAGGAATTTTCAAGCACCATCAGGGGTGTTGAAAATCAGTAAATTTTAAGGGCTATTTTTTTAGCTTTTACACCATGCAGGGCACAGTGTTTCTTACAGATTAAACCTGGGTACTTTGAAAGAGCTCTCAGAACACTTGTGAGGTCTTCCTGAGAGTACATGCGAGCAGGGAACGGAGCTGTATTGAGCAACATTTGAGGGCAGTCACTGAGTAACGTGCCTTCCACTGCTGTTCATTGATTCCTTTTTTTTCCAGGGGTGGGGCAGGTGATTAAGTTTGTTTGTTTACTTTTGATGGAGGTACTGGGGACTGAACTCAGGACCTTGTGCATGCTAGGCACGCACTCTACCACCGAGCTATACCCACTCTCTCACTGGGTCCTAACAACAAGGCCATAAACATCCTTTTCCTCCTTCTGTGGGTTATTATTATAACTCCCTCCACCTGGTGTGTTCTGCTCATTGACTGGCCTTCTCTGAGATCACAATTCAAATTCCAGCCTCCCTTTACTGGTCTTATACAGCATTTCTGTACTGTGTGTGTCTATTTATATACAAAATTAAGAATTGGTCTAATATTTGTCTCCCTTTAAGACGGTAAACTTAACAAATTCTTTTGCTCACCACTTGCTCCTTGGCATCTAGCATACAGGTGTTTGCTGAGTGAGTGCCTGGAGCGGGCCGTTTGGCAGAGTGGAGTTTGTCTGTACAACATGCAAAATGGATATTTGAGAACAATTTACGCTGGATACTGTTATAAAATTAGAGGTCATTTTTTTTTACAGTATAAATAATCTCCCCTGAGTTTTTTTTTTAATTTAAGCTTAAAACTTATGGCAGCCTTTTTTGTTTTTTTAAGTAGAGCACCTCTGCGTTTAGGAAAACTAGAGCTCTTGTGATGCCTTCGAGTTCGCCTGGCAGATTGTTGGGACTGGAAACAGCAAGCTTATCTGAAAGTCTCAGCCATCCTTGGAATTCCTGACTGTCAGGGAGTGTGGGTAGAGCCCTTGTTTACCCTCAAACAGTTTATCTCTGAACAAAAGAACCACGGCTCTAGTTCATTAAATGTCTGTTTTGCCTCCGTGGAATTTGGGGGGACACAGAATTAGCGCTAACATGAAGCTCTGACAGCTGCTTTGGCCAAGAATCATAAAGTCCTTTGTCTCTGGCCCGGGGGTCTCCTGTCCTCTGCCAGCATCCATGTCATAGTCACAGGCTGGTGAGAGGGATGGCATCTCACACCTGTGGCAGAACCTGCTAGAAGCCAGTGTGGGAGGAGTGCAGTGAGAAGGGCGGACAGCAGAAAGTATTTTTACTCTTTATGCTGATTCTGTGTCCTTCCTAGATTCTTGGCGCTAAAATGCTTTTAATTTTACGTAATGATGGTGATAGTGGTGATCTCTCATTTCATCCAATCTAGAGGCCATTGGTTGTAAGAAACATTATTATGTGCTAATTAAAAGGAAAAATACTGCCCATTAG